TTAGACTTACAGCTATTGACTCTTCTGGACCATATGTCATCTACTGGCTTCCAGGAAAAGACATGAAGACATATAGGTGTGACCCCAAATCCATGTAGTAAATGCTTACTATGTGGGTGACTACTTATAGAAATTATCTTCTAAAGAGTGTATATATATGGGGGCCACCTGGGTGGCTCAGACCCTTAAGTGGGGATTCTTGATTTTGCTCAGGTCATGAACTCAAGGTTGTGGGATGGAGCCGGTGTGGGCTTCATGCTCAGTGCCGGGAGTCTGTTTGTCCTTCTCCCTCTGTTCTTTCCCCTACCCTCATCGTGCTCTCTCCTCATTTTCTCTCCTTCTCAAATAAATAAATAAATAAATAAAATCTTTAAAAATTTAAAAAAAAGAGTGGTATAAGGATTTGGGATTTGGGAGTCTGGAAAATATGCTGTGATATTCTAAGGAAGTAAAGGGAACTTTTTAAAAAGCCCACTTCTTTATTATTTGAAGGAAATATCAAGATATCAAAACATAATCTGATCTCAGAAGGATATTATGGTCTTAATGTGTGAGATCAAATAAATGCAGGAAAATATTGGGGTAATACTAAAACACAGTTAAGTTTTAAGTTTGTGACAGAGATTATTGATACTGTTTATTTATTCTTCCCAACTTTATTTTATATATTATCTTTTTCCTTGTTCTAGGATTATGAAACTGAACACCATGATCTTCCTACAGACACCTTAGAACTATTTCATCTCAGTCTTAAAACACCTGCAAGAAAGGGCACAGTACTTTTCCATTAGTAAGTAGCAAGGAAAAAAAACGCAGCAGACTTTCCAACTATGTATGAATGTGGGTTTTGTCATTGCTTTCACTGATGAAACAAAGATGATTATAGGTTGGGTGAATGAGGGTAGGGGAGTGGAGAGTGGTAGGGAAGAATATGTGGCATCTTGATCTATTGAATTATGGAATGGGTCATCTAATGCAATCCCATTGAATGACTGAGCTATACAAAATTATCAGGCTAATGTGTATGTTTGTCACTGAACTGGTAGGGAAACGACAACCCAGCTGTTAAATCATTTTCTTAAATTTAGCCAGAAGATTTCCAGTAGAAGTGGGCCTTGAACATTTGAATCTCTGATTAGATTATGATGATTTTTTCCCTATGATACACGGACGTAAAAACAGGTCTTAATGCTTCTAAAATTAGCGATTTAAAATCAAACAACATGCATTCATGGAAAGATCTTATGAACTCAGTAAACTACCACACATTGTAAAGGATCATAATAAAAAATTAATAATTTCCATTTATTGTTATTTGTCAGGCATTGTATTAGGGGCTTTATGTATATCATGCCACTCACTTTTCAAAGCAAAGTTCTTGATATGATAATCCACATTTTACAGAAGAGAAAATTGAAGCTCAGGATTTCCCAGAACTGATGGTTTCCAAAGATAAGCAATAAGTCATAGAAAGTTGATAAGCAGAAAGTAAACGAAAGCTGAGCTATAAGAATTCAGCTGTAAGGTAGGATCCTGGTTACCTTCACAGTGATTAACCAGTCTTCAGTGGTTATTAAAAAAATACTAAGCCAAAAAAGCAGTACCCAGATTTTAATGTGCTTGGGAAGAGGGGAGGGCTGGTTAGGGAGGGAAAACATGCTGTATTAATTCATGTTAAAGAGATACCACCTCACACAGGTCAGAATGGCTAGAATGAACAACTCAGGAAACAGCAGATGTTGGCAAGGATGGGGAGAAAGGGGAACACTTTCACACTGTTGGTGGAAATACAAACTGGTGCAGCCACTCTGGAAAACAGTATGGAGGTTCCTCAAAAAGTTAAAAAGAGAGCTACCCTGTGACCCAGCAATTGCACTACTAGGTATTTATCCAAAGGCTACAAACACAGTGATTCAAAGGGGCACATGTGCCCCACTATATATAGCAGCGATGTCCTCAATAGCTAAAATATGGATGTCCATCGACAGATTAATGGATAAAGATGTGATGTGTGTGTATATATATATATATATAGAGAGAGAGAGAGAGAGAGAGAATATTACTCAGCCATCAAAAAGAATGAAATCTTGCCATTTGCAATGACATGGATGGAAGTAGAGGGTATTATGCTAAGCAAAATAAGTCAGTCAGAGAAAGACAAATATCATATGATTTCATTCCTATGTGGAATTTAAGGGGAAAAAATCACATGAACATAGGGGAAAGGAAAGAAAAATAAAATAAGATAAAAACAGGGAGGCAAACCGTAAGAGACTCTTAAGTATAGGAAACGACTGAGGGTTGCTGGAGGGGAGATGGGTGGGGGGATGGGGTAACTGGGTGATGGACATTAAGGAGGGCACGTGATGGAATGAGCACTGGGTTTTTATGCAACTGATGAATCACTAAATTCTACCTCTGAAACTATAATACAGTATATTTAATTAAATTGAATTTAAATAAAAAGTTAAAGAAAAACGTGGTATACATATCAGTCTTTGGAAATGCTTTTCTAAAGGATAAAGAAGAACCTGCTAGGTGTTGTGAAAAAAGTAAATGGTAGAATTGAGACTAAGTTAAATGCAAAAATAAATGCGAAGAATGACTGAAGGTAATTGATGAAATCTATTGCCACTTTGACATCACAATTTCAAATTCTTTTCATAGTATGTTCTAAAATTATTGATTGTTCTTTTGCTTGTGTTTTAATACAGTGATTGAATAAACAGATGATCTACTTTCATAAAAAAGGCAGTTTGTAACAATTAATGTAATATGCAAAAACTATTGAATTGTGCACTTTAAATGAGTGAATTGTATGGTATGTAAATTAGATCTCAATGAAGTTTGTCTTTTTAAAAACTTAAAAAAAATGTTATATGGAAATCAAATAATGTCAAAAGACATGTCAGACAACTAGCAACGAAATTTGAAGATACTGGTGTGAAAAATTCTGTTTCAGAAATTTATTGACTTAGATCTACTTATACAAGCAGAATTTGCGAAAACAGAATAGATATAACATTTATTGTGCTCTAACCTCTTCTCTACCTTCCTTCTTTGTACAGATAAAGCAAATACTTCATCCTGCTCTGAGAACCAACAGTAATAACTCATTTATTTTAATGTGAACACTTTGTCAATCATTTTTGTTTTGCCAATGGTAAAATTGTATATTTAATACATTTATCCATGATTTTCAAAACTTTATGGATACATTTTTATTAAGAGAATCGAGTTAATTTTACTCTTTACTCACTTTATCAAGTTGAAACTTAATTCTTTAGATTTCATCTTCAAATAGATAATATAATTAATTCTCAGGTTTATGACTTTGAAACAATTATTCTAGAACTATCTTTACTAGAAGAAATATAAAAGAAGGACAAATTGTATATATTATTGATGATTTTTACTATGAACATGTATGATTATGTATTAATACAGGGATTGTTAAAATGAGGATGAGTGCCTCCAGTGTACTACAAAATGATTGCTTTTCTCAGATGAAACTATGTTCCTTTCAGTGTGCTTTGACTTTGACGTTATACTTGGTGGGAGGCTAATTTCTGAAGTTACTTAAGAACTTACCACTGGCATAGGTAAATTAACTGTTCTAACACTCAATTTCTTCAGCTGTAAAATACAGTCATACCCACCAAAGTATGATGATGAAATTAGACAGCAAATTTTGCATTACATGGTCAATAAATGTTCAATCTTCTCCCTTTTATGAGCGCATTATTGAGGATAAAGGGAATCCATGGAACAAGTATCAATTGTCTACTATTTACAAATCAATAAGGCCTGAGAAGTACCACAGATAAACTGTTTAGAATATTCTTTCTTTTCAAGAATTTGAGAGTACCAATCTCACACAAAGAAAACAAATCAATGCAGCATCCCTTTAGTTTACAAAGTGAGTAATTTATATGACTAATGGCCAGAAGATGAGTGCTTTTTTTAAACTTAGTGGGCTTGTTGCTTCATCTAAAGGACCAAGAATTTTTTTGACATGTTGAGAAAGGACAACACTGTGTCTTTTAAAATTTAGTGAGAATATTAAACAACTTTTGTACCAAATCATGGATTCAGCAAATTTGAACAGGCTTGATTTTCAATATGTTACTTGTATTTTATTTTTTTATACTAGGAAATTTGAGATATAGACAAGTGTAAGTAATAAAGTCAAAATAACTTTTAATCCCTCTGCCAAGGAAATAACCACTAATAAAGTGTGTGTGTGTGTGTGTGTGTGTATATATATATATTAGATTTATTTGTTTATTTTAGAGAGAGAGAGAGAGAATGCATGTGAACATGCACCCGTGGGGCAGAATGGCAGAGGGGGAGGTAGAGAGACAAGCAAGCTCCACGCTGAGCACAGAGCCCCACGTGGGGCTCAATCTCATGACCCTGAGACCATGACCCGAGCTGAAATCAAGAGTTGGACGCTTAACCAACTGAGCCATCCAGGCTCCCCTGTACATTTATTTCTGTGTAAACATAACCTTGGAATCTTGATTAGAACCATGTGTAAATAAAAGAACAAACAGTTCTACTTTTTATAGAGCAGAGCAAAACAAGAGATAGTGCACACTGAAAATAACCTTTTCCCCAAAATTGGGATGAATAATCAATGCAGTATCATAATTAACTCTGAAGAAATCTGTTTTTTCCACATTTTTAATGAACTTAGGAGCAATACAGCTGGGCAGAAAGATGATGACATGTCCCTAGCCTTTATATATATACTTTAAGAGCATCAGTCAAGTGTTTCATTTTATTTTTTATTGTCCCTATCAGTGACAAAATTGGTTCCACTATGATTCTACTGACACCAAATAACAATCTCCTCTTGCCACATTTTTTATGAATGTGGGAATTACAGTTCGTTTAAACTAACCAAGATCACTACATTGGCTTTTCCTCATAGTCTGAGGTCCATGTACTACATGTTTTAATGCAGACCTTTGTTCTCTTTGACTTATTTCCCAGAAATGGCGTTATTCCCACTAGTGGTGTTTCTGGCTGCTGTGCTGCTTCCATCTATACCCACAGAAGGAAAGGTAAAGTTAAATTGGAAAACCTTTCTAAAGCTATCCAGGCAACTTTGTGGGATGGTTATGTCCTTTGATAGTAGAAGGGGGAGAGTGTGTGGTACATCACAAAGTACATCACAAAGGAAAATATCTACGAATAAACTTAAGCAAAGAGATGACTTAACACAATTATCTAGATGACAGTCTAAGGCTGAGCTCTCCAGTAGCCACTAGTCACATGTGGTTATTGAACACTTACAATGCGGCTTATCCAGGACAAAATACACTGTAAGTGTAAAACACACACTAGATTTCAAAGATTTAGCACAAAAAAAAAAAAAAAGAAGAAGAAAAAATGTCATTAATAACTTAGGTATTCAGTACATGATGAAATGATATTTTGGATAAATAATTAAATAATGTATTAGGTTCTCAGGGCTGTTGTAAGAACTGAATGAAAGTTGGGTGACTTAGAACAACAGAAATTTATTCTCTCACAGTTCTGGTGGCCAGAAGCCTAAAATCTAGGTGTCAACAAGGCCACACTCCCTCTTGAGGATCTAGGAGGGAATGTGTTCCATGTCTTTTAGCTTACGGTGGCTTTGACCAATCACTGTGATAAGTAGGCTTATGGCTACCTATTCTCTGCCTCCCTTTGCACATCACCTTCTTCTCTCTGTGTCTTTTGTAAGGATACTTGTCATTGGATTTAGGTCCTACTTGGATAATCCAGGATGATTTAATATTGAAATCCTTAACTATATCCAGAGAAGGTCACATTGGCAGATTCTGGGGATTAGGATGTAGACATATTATTTTTGTAGATTATTAGTCAACCCATTAAAAGTAAAATTTATTACTTAAAATAATGTCAATACATTTTAAAAATCAAACATCATGATCAAGCAGGATTTATTCCCAGAATGCAACAGTGGATCAATATTTGCGAAACAATCAATGCAACATGTCACATGAATAAGAGAAAGGATAAAAACCATACAATCATTTCAATAGATACAGAAAAAGCATTTGACAAAATACAATATCCATTTATCATAAAAAGCCTCTGCAAAGTAGGTCTAGAGGGAACATACCTCAACATCATAAAGGCCTTATGTGAAAAACTCACAGCCAACATACTCAATGGTGAAAAATCTGAGAGCTTTCCCCCTTAGGTCAGGAACAAGACAAGGATGTCCGCTCTCACCACATTTACTCAACAGAGTCCTAGAAGTCTGAGCCACAGCAGTTAGAACACATAAAGAAATAAAAGGCATCCAAATTGGTAAGGAAGAAGTGAAACTCTCACTATTTGCACATGACATGATACTCTATATAGAAAACCCTAAAGACTCCACCAAAACACTACTAGAACTGATACATAAATTCAGTAGTCATAGG